TCACCAACAAATTCGGGATTTCTTTTCTTATCAGAAAGATCAGAGTGGGTTTTCCGAGCTGCTGTACCGTCGTAATTACCATTAGGCTTATCCAATTCTTTCCGAATCCTCTTCACTGTCCTCAGATTGACACTCAAACACTCTGAAATGTTCGTATTGAAGCTTCCGGTGCGAATGCCAAGCAGTACAACATACCGTTTCCAAATTTCTGGCGGGTTGAATTGCATAATGCTGCTTTTTTTCTTACAGACGGTGCCTTACTATACTGTGCAGCTGACAAAATCAAAACAAACAACGCGCATGTGCGAAATTAGAATATGAAATGGCGACAATTTACCCATCTCATTCTGCCTTCAAATATATATATATATATATATATACATACATACACACACACACACACATTCTTTTTATAGATACAAATATTTAAGTAAATGCTCTGTTTTATAATAAACAGTATTAAACAACATTTACCGGCCTGAATATCCGAGATTTTTTCACAGTAAAATATTCGTCCTCCGACAGGATTCGAACCTGTATCCTATACGGAACCGTCATTTAGCTTGACGCGCCTTTAACCGATTTGTCCACAGAGGAGGGTCCGGTTAGCAAGGTCGAATTTACTGTCTTTAAACTTCCATCTTCTCTCTCGTACATTCATATCTGCTCAACGGTTAAAGGTTAAAGGCAATATATATATTGAAATATTCTATGAAAATGTCTGCATTACTTAATTCCCTTTAATCCCTAGCTGTAATCTAAATGATAAGGGGGTTACCAATTTCAAAGTAGAAAATATCATTATTTGAATATCTAAACAATTATGAAAATCATTGGCAAAAATACTTGATTGTTTATAAAGATCACAAACAACTAAAGTAGGAATTAATAACAAAACAGTTATTTTCTTTTTAATTTGATTTTTAAGATTGTCTATGCAAATTAGTTGTTCTTTTGGGTAAGATATGACACTCGTATATAACTGCATGTATTGAAGTCAATTTGGGGCAATATTTGTGCACACACAAACTCTGGGTTTTATATATTAGATGTTCGTTCTTTGTTTTTTTTTGTTTTTTTGGAGGGGGGTTGTTTTTTTGTCTTTCTTTATTTGCAATAATGTTTCACTTTACATTTCATGGTTTGATGGAAAAATGAGTTTTGTTCCGAGAAGGAACTTTGTCAGACAAATACCAATTTTATTGATGGAATCAGTTTTAGAAAAAAGGAAATTTTGAGAATACGTACAACAAATGTCAATTACATCGAAATGTTAATGATACATAGACGCTCAACATTAAATTTTGACGTTCAACCAATTAGATGTGAAACTTATCTTTTCCCATTCAAATTTTTACTCCTTTTTTCTTATCATTGTTTTTAATCCTCAAAAAGTGTATCAGCACTAGTTATGTACGGAAAGTAGAGCTTTATTATTTTTATCTACAACTCATGGATTAATGATTTGTGGTAATATATCAATATAGAATAATCGATATATAGGAAATATATTGCTTTTTAGGTAAAATATTTTAGAAAGGACAACTTTCTAAAATTTCTAAAATGCTCATACACAACTAAGAGTTGATCCCATGGGTCGTCCATTTTCTTGTTTAAAGTGATTTTTATCGACAATGAAATAACATAGGTTTATAAATCATAATTTTGTCTATCTGTTAGAAGTTTTGATTCTTTTAAAACAATTTTGTAATGATATTTCTATGTTAAACTTTAGAATTCACTCTTGTATAAATACCTAAGGCCATCAAATCATAAGAGCCCGGTTTTTTAAAACACTTCTAAAATGCATTTTTATTTTGGTTTGTAATAATTGCGTGGGGGGGGCGTGAATAGGCCAAGTATATTTTGTCTATAATTTTGTCTAACTTTTTTTTGCTGTATTATAGATATGTCCTTTGAAATGGGGACGTCAGTTGGTAGAGTGTTAGACATCACAATGGCGGATAGTTCATCGATACTTAGGAAATCCAGCAAGCGGTGGGGGGAGTGATTCCATGGAAAAAATAGTACATCAGTAATAATTAGGGAAATATATTTAAAAACTCACATATAAAATCATTCTGATAATATTAAGAACTTAACAAAATATGAAATCATTTTTTTATACGTTATTGGTACATTTTTCATATAGGATAATGTATATTCTAGCTTTCAAATTTTGTTTCTCTGTCGGTAACAATGACTGTCGCCTGTTATCGTTTAATTATTAGTAACTTGGTTTCCCTATTGCGATTCGTTGTTACGGCAACACGTGATATATTCGGCGCCACAGGATTAGAGCATGTATTCGTTTTATTCTGACTTGAAGTGGAACAACTACATTGAATCAATAGCTGCATCTACTGTAAGGAAAGTTGATTCACTTTGTCGTGCCAGAAGGTTCTTCTCGTCAGAGTCCATCTTTCACCTTTACAAATCTACCATTCAGCTGTGCAATGAATACTGTTACCATATTTGGTCTGGTGCTCCTGCTAATCATCTTAAGGTTCTTGAAAACATCCAAAGAAGGATCTGCAATGTAATCGATCCTAAATTGGCATCTCGACTTCAGTCACTTTCTCACAAACGTGATGTGGCTTCACTCTGTCTTTTCTACAAATATTTACATACCAACTGCTTTGACGAGATTTTTTTCCTGGTGCCCCGACTACATGAGCTTAAGCATTCTACTAGATTGGCATCTAGGTCCCACCATTTTACTATTAAAATACTTAAATGCAACCACCACTTCTACTCCAACAGTTTCTATCTTCGCTCTTCCCGACAGTGAAACTCCCTTCCTCTTAATTTCTTCCCTGATAACTACAGTCTTCAAAAATTTAAATGCAACGTCAATCGCCATCTTCTGTTGCCTTGATTCCCGTTCATCTTTATCCTTTCCTTAATTTCCCCTATATCCAGTTTTGTCTTTCACTTTCACTCTCTATAACACCCTGCGTGCTACTGGCTCTCCCGCCTTGCTTGGGGTGAAATGCTTTAAAAAGTATTGTGTTATACTAGTAAAATAATTATGATATATATTTAATGATACACACATTATTTAATTTATTTTTTAAAATGAACTGATTCCACAGACATTAAAGTATAGCCATTAAATAATGAGAAGAAGAAGAAGAAAAAGAAGAAGAAGAACCTGTAATAATTTTATGGGACTTCACAATACACACAGACAGAACAACCAAAGCTAATCACCCAGACGTCGTGATCAAAGACCACAAGAAAAGAATGTGCTTTCTTATTGACATGGCAGTCCCAACGGATTGTAATATATCTTTGAAGATCTACAAACAAGTTATCAAAATACTAGGATCTTGCCGGGAAACTCTCAAAGATGTGGCACATGAGGACATCAATAATTCCAGTTGTAGATGGATGAGATTGATTGGAAAAAAAAAAGTTTCGATTGACTAATTGAAGGATTCCTGGTAGCCTATTCCTTAAAGAAATACAAAAGATTCTACTCTCAATTTATGAAGAGCTTTACCTATATAAAATGGGTGTGATCTTTGTTTTTGCTTTTGTTTTACAAAAAATGATCATTGGAAAATACCGTAGGCCATTTTTGACCTTAGGTTAGGACCCTTCTTGTCCCCATAGATTTTAATTTCTATATCTATCATTGGTTCCCACCGGCAAACCCAAGTCGTTTGCACAATTTTCAAGAAATCACCTTTTATATCTTATCATGTATACGTTTGTATTCCTTCTAAGCTAGTTTGTTGCAACCATTCCATAAATGAAGGCCTCGCTTCAATCTTCGTATAATCGATATTTACCATTTTGCTGTCTTCTGGTGATTTTGCCCTTAATATAGTTTTTGCAACAGAATTGTTTTACATTGATATGGAAATGGGTTCAGTTATTCTTTACAGATCTTTTTCTTTCGTAACTATATCCATTTGATTGTGTTGTGGCTTCTTTTATTCACTTCCTGAAGATTCCGTAGACTCATTATTTTTTCCTCATTCTTAGAGTTTTCTGGTCATTTCATTTTTGCTACAGCTTCAGGCTTTTTTAATTAATATTTCATTATTTAGTCATCAATTGTATCATTGTGAGTGCAAAACAGAAACGCATAAGTTAAAGTCAAGGAAAGTAAAAAAGAAAAAAAAACAATAAAATATCCGAAGGAATAAACAGCTAGAAATGTTGTTGGAAATATATCGAATTTCTGATATATTTCATAGGCTCAGCTGAATCTCACTAATTCCGAAAAAACAAACAATGTGTTGTGGCCTTGTTAGGGCCAAAAATAAAAGACACGAGAAAGGAATTGAGTTAAGCAAATATATTAACAGAAACAGTAAAACAAGCATATACAACCGAAAGTGTTACAGCAAGCATGTTCGGTCCGACTGTCAGAGCTGACTGCTGGAGACCTCTCTCTCCAAAAGGCAGTACCTGCTCCTATTTATAGCTGAGAGATTCCATGCGTGCGTGGGTAAATTACCATAACACAAAGCGAAATGAAGTAGGATGTAGCAATGTATCTTCATTGGCCCATGAATTGAAAAATCAGCATTTAGAGAGAAGATGGGATTTCCTGTTAGAATTTTCTCCACGATAGGAACAGTGGGTCTACAAATTGTTAGGATTGTGTGTCCTCTCTCACTCCCCACCACATACTTTTCCGTCACTGACAATGGACGTGGATGTGCGAGTGGTGTAATAGGATAGCGGCTCGGAATGAGAAATCGAAGACCCCATTTTGATTCACGGCGAGTTGGTTGCATTTTCATGAGCAACTGCTCTTAGGAAAGGTATGATACCCATCTCTTTCTCTCCCAGCTATGGGTTAAATAGTTGGATTTGTTTCTGGAGAAATTATTATCTCCCCCCCACAAAAAAAATTAACGAAATAGTCACTTGCAAAAAAACTGACAAAGAAGTCCTTTGATATCAAGTCCTTTGCTCCTCATGAGCACTTTTCGTCTCGCTCTTTTTATAAAAAAAATGTCAACGAATGCTGGGCAATCTCCTCATAGATAGATAGATAGATAGATAGATAGATAGATAACACATATGCCTTGATAAATTCCCTCAGAGGACGAAACGCTTCGGCTTTCCTTTTGTCTATTCATATCGATATGTATTCTATCAACGTTTAGATAGAAAGAAAGAAAGAAAGAAAGAAAGAAAGAAAGAAAGAAAGAAAGACTGCATGGCGAAACACGTTTTAGGTTGGATAACAAAAAGAGAAAATTTATTATTTGGTACAAACGACAGAATATTGTTGAGAGGCATGAACGCCTTTTTCCTGAATGGTCATGTCACATAGAGGAATACAGAATTCATAGTCATTCTATTCTCAGTGGTTACTAAAATACAAACATGATTATTGTTTCATTTTTACAGCTTCATTTAGCATTATATATATATATATATATATATATATATATATATATATATATATATATATATATATATTAAGATTTGTTATATTTACTTCTGTTTAAATTTCGTTAGAAACAAAGAAAAGAGTACAGAACTGTTACGTAATATCTGTCCTCCTCTATGGCACCGACTGATGGACAATGTCCTCAAAGATGAAGAATAAGCTTGAAGCATCAGAAATGTGGTTTTACAGGAAGATGCTGAGGATACCATGGACTGGAAATGTGAGCCGAGGTTTTAGTAAAAATGAAAACAAAAAGAAAACTTATACTTAACATAAGAGGCAGTTGAAATCTCTGGCACACAAAATGCGGAAAGAGAGCTTGGCAAATCTGATACTCACAGGACAGATTGAGGGAAAGAGGGACAGTGGAAGGCATCACGTAATATACTTGATGAGCTTGAACAAATGGATAGTAGAACAAAGTTTGCGAGAAATAGCAAAGAGACAAAACTTATTAAGAGCTACAAGGAACAGGGAGATGTGGAGGGCCATGGTCGTCTGAAGAAACATGGCATATAAAAGATATGAACGTTATCTATAGGCAGTACGGCCAATGGCTTCCTTAGATTCTTCTGTTCTCGGTGTTAGAAGGTTTACGGCCATATTACGTTGAAACACCGGTTCTCGTACGTATCACCGAAGTTAAGCAACACCAAGCTTGGTCAGTACCTAGATGGGTGACCACTTGATAATACTAGGTGCTGTAAGCTTGGATATTCCGGAAGTGTAATGGACAACCTCTTGGATCGGGTAGCCGATTTCTAGTTCCAGTTTTGTTCACTTACGCGAAAATACCCTTAGGAAAGATATGAACCCACCTGTTTTCCATCTCCCAGCTATGGGTTAATTAACAGATATTCTATCAGTAAATCATTATATCCAAAAAAATTCTTACAATTTAAAAATATTTTCAGACTCTAAATAACGTTAGGTTGATAAGCCGTTAAAAGACAAATAAACCAATCAAATTTAGAATAGACACTGTTTACGGATACCGTTGAATGTATCAATTCCTTGATCAAATTCCTGCTGTTCAGGCGAGATTAAAACGTTTTCTTTTTAACCCTTGGAGCCAAAATTCGCAAATAATTGTAAATGTAATGTTTCACGGTAGATATAAAAAAATCAGACAACCAATAACAAAACACGATGCAAGTGTTTAACCACCGTTGAACCGGTAGCTAGACATTAAATCATTTTTCTCTACCACCGTTGAACCGGTAGCTAGACATTAAATCATTTTTCTCTACCACCGTTGAACCGGTAGCTGGACATTAAATCATTTTTCTCTACCACCGTTCAACCGGTAGCTAGACATTAAATCATTTTTCTCTACCACCGTTGAACCGGTAGCTAGACATTAAATCATTTTTTCTCTACCACCGTTCAACCGGTAGCTAGACATTAAATCATTTTTCTCTACCACCGTTCAACCGGTAGCTAGACATTAAATCATATTTCTCTACCACTATTCAACCGGTGGCTGGGCATTACATCAATTTTCTCTACCACCCATAAAGCGGTGGTCAGGGCCCAAAGGTTTAATGTACAAATTAGTTAATTACTCAAATAATTAATATTTTACCAACCATTACCGATTAAACTATAAAGTTATATGGCACGTATATATAATGTTTATCTATATATATATATATATCTTAAATTATTGACGAAGTATAGGGATTATCCACACTTGATCTACCAAGTAGCCGTCACAGTAGATATGAAAATAGTTACAAGCGTTTACCCACTGTTCAACCGGTAGCTGGACATTAAGTCTATTCTTCTTTACCACTGTTCAACCGGTGGCTGGGCATTACGTTATTTTTCTCTGCCACCGGGGGGATTTCGCATTATTTATCATCTCTCAGTTGCGTCTCTTGGACAGAGTGCGCTCAGGGGCTTCTCTGTCAAAGGAAAATTATACTGAAGAGGTGCCCAGCCCTGGGGAACAGCTGCCCGAGGCCGCGCCCTCCCATTGCACAAGAGGGAGGGATCAGTGCTCGCACCGAGGCCAGCGCCACCGACGGTTGCGGAGGCAGAGGGGAATTTTTGTCCCTACCCGGGTGTACGCGCTCGGGACCCCACATTAAACCGACCTTGTGTCACATCTTGTTCTCGTGGAGAAACGAGTAAATACCAGCTCAAAGGGTTAATCATCATAAATATCTTGAGTATTTTCCATAATGTGATGGTTAACGAGTTAATCTCGCAGAGTATTTTCACTAAGTGTTTATATGTGTGGTTTAAGTTAAGCTTAGTAAATATTTAGATCTTATCGTAGTCGTGAAATGGTTTGCTAGTTAGCCAAGCAGCTAATTCCTACAGCAGAGGCTTCAAAACAGGCACTATACGTGTGTCGGCTGAAAAGTTCATAGCCTGACCAACATATGAATATACCTGACTCACTATGTATAACATAAACATCAGCTATTACTAGCTGACTGCAAAAGTGAAGCCTTTCCCATATCCTTTTGATATCATGACTTCTTTTCTTTGCTAGGCCTGAACCCTTTCAACCCTGCGTTTCTGAACAATTTTAACACTTCTGCCTGAGCTTCAGAGTCAAAATTCGCAAATAGTTGGAATGTAATATTTCACGGTAAAGCTGTGGTCAGGGCTCGAAATGTTAATATACAAAGTCATTAATCACTCAATTTTTTTACCTACCTTTATATATTAAACTATAAAGTCATATTGCACGTATATATTGTGTTTATCTATCTATCTATCTATCTATCTATCTATATATATATATATATATATATATATATATATATATATATATATATATATTGTATGTATTTAGGCAGCATTTTTTTCATTCATACTGTTATTAAGCTTATCAGACGTTATGAAAGAATTTACATAAAATAAATAGACAACACTTGTCTATATTATTTAATGAAATATATATATATATATATATATATATATATATATATATATATCTTAAATTATTGAGGATGTCTACCAAGTAGTCGTCACGGTAGATATTAAAATAGGGTTTACCCACTGTTCAACCGGTAGCTGGGCATTACGGTAAAGCGATGGTCAGGGCTCAAAAGGTTAAAGGTGTTCTTTACCGGCTTCTTTCATCTCTTACTTTTCCAGTATTACACCTGTTTCAAATATTCTAAACGATCCGTAACTTTCTTTGTAAGCCATTCAGATTATCTTTTGACATTTTTTAGTTCAAAACTTCTAGCCTATAATTCGATAATCGATGACCTTTCTATTTCCTGACAACTGAATTGATCCTCATACTTCTCAGTCATCTCACTGTTATATATCGGTTATATAAAAATACGTTTCACAGACTGTAAAGTTGCATAAACAAGCAACTGAAGTACCTCCTTTAGCTTAAAAGAAGTTTTAGTTTCGCTTTGACGCATAAGTCTAGAAAGAAATCAATAACCAGGGAATTGATTTAACCATTATCAATAAGAATTTAGTCGAGAATCGATAATGAAAACCTTAACATGAATAAATAAAGAATCAAATAAAGATTTTTAAAAAAAAGTTCTGTAGTGTCTTTTTCAAATCTTTTGTCTACTTTCTTTGGTTATTGCTTTATTATCGCAAACTTTTAAGTCGAAGGTGAACCAAATAACTTCCAATGAGATCTGAACATGTCTGAATTTGTTTGCTCTCTAACTAGTCTTGACCTGGGTAAGACGTTAAACTACATCCGCGTCCTGGGTAAGACGTTAAAGTACGTCCAGTAGCAAGGCCTCTGATCTGCAGGTTTTGAGGAGCGTGGAACCACCTCTTAATTGCTGGTGTTCCCAGGTCCACCCTGACCCGGGGTGGTAGCACCTGTTAGGGTCCCAGCTTTGGGCAAATAGTTAACTATTACCAGCAATGCTTTTTTGAAAAAAAAATATTGCCAGCAATACAATTTGGGAGGAAATATATTACCAGAAACAGATTTTTGACAAAAAAAAATATTACCAGCAATAAAAAATATTGTCGGCATTAAATAACACATTGAGGTTGATATACCGTAAAACAAAATAAACCAAACCAATCTAACTAGTCCTATATTTCACTGACCGAGTTCTTTGTTTAAGGCATCGTACATGAAAGTATCTGTCTATATTTCTGAGATAATGTACACTATTTACTATCATCTTCATCTCTGTTGCCATATTTATCAAAACGTTTCGGCCGTTGTACGCTCCCTTCTTCTTCAGGTGGTTGGAATGTCGAACTGAACCCTTTATATCGCTCGCTTTATTTGCCCTCAAGGACGCATGGTACAGTGGATAAAGGCGTTAGTTAGATCTAGTAACAAGACACAAAGAGTGTGAGTTCAGTACCTGGTTAAGACTGTGGAGAACGTGGAGAGGGGGATTAACAGGAGATAACAGATAACTGACATCCATTAGACATGGCACGTGGAACTAGATGAGTCTACCCCAGCGAGCAAAATACATGAAAGACGAGCTCGTGGGTGCTGGTCCGAGTCTTCTTATATGTTACTGTATTGTTCTAATTTCATGCAACTCACTTAAAGGTTGGGTTGTGTGATAGTCGATCGAGCATTTTGTGATAAAAAATAATAATAGCAGCCATATGAAAAGTTAACAATTAATAAGAAAAAAGTTTCGTTGCATAATTAAGATATTATCTTTAATACATTTTTATGTTTATACATTCTTTTTTCATAGAAAATATCCGTCTTCTGACAGGAATCGAACCTGTATCCTATAGGGAACCGCCATATAGCCAGACGTGCCTTAACCGATTGAGCCACAGAGGATCGTTCGGTTAGCGAGGTCGATTTTACTGCTTTTAAACTACAATCTTCCATGAATCTCTCACGTACATTCATATCTACTCAAAGCGTATCCAAATGTAAACATATGACGTCAGACATTATGAAATGGACAATTTCTTGGACATTCAGGCTGGTAAATGTTATTAATACTGTTTATTATAAACAGAGCATTTACTTAAATATTTGTATCAATAAAAAGAATGTGTAAACATAAAATGTCTTAAAAATAATTGTCTCACTTTGTCCATTTCATATTATCTTTATTATTTTTTATTTTTATTTAACTTCAGATTTTTTTAAAATTAAGTATTCTTTATTTACATTACATGTAGAGTATTGTCCTCATCTTGATGTCGTTATTACAACGTTTCAGTCAGCTAGTCCTCCTACCTTCATGGCTTACAGCCGCATCACGTTGAAAACACCGTTTCTCATACGATCATCGAACTTAAGCAACGTCGGGCCTGTTCAGTAACTAGATAGGTAACTGCTTGAGAATACCATGTTCTGTAAGTTTGGATGCGCGGTTGGTATAATGGGCAATGGCTCGAAATTGTTAATCGGAGTGCCGAGTTCCAATTCTATTTAGGTTCGTTATAGTCACATATCCTCGAATACGCTTGGGAAATGTCTGAATCCACATCTTCTCCCCCAACATGAGTTAATTAATAAAACTTGTATCACTAAACCACTATTATCTCAAAAAAATCTTACGATCTAAAAATATTCTCTGGCTTTAAATCACCTGCAAAGGAATTTTGAATTGTACTCTTAAGTTCTCGTTCCACTGTCCATGTCTCGGGCATATCTCGTCTTTTCTCACGAGACAATAGCCTAGTATATTAAAACATTTATTCGTGAATAAATGAGCAGGAATAAATACTAACAAAACGAGACACCCCTAAACATAATCAGCAGAACAAGAACAATAACCCGTTGTGAATTAAGTAAATGGTTCAGTTTGAAATTCCCTAAATGTCACCAGGATGGACACGACCCTGATGATGACCAGAAGGCACACAGACCGAAACGTTGTATTTAATAACAAGAATGCCGACAATTGTCAGCGTGTAAATAATATAAATAACAATAACTGCTCATCTCAGAAATTCAGACTGAAAAAAATGAAATTTCCTGTTTATGTTGTCTAAGCTTAAATTATTAATAAATTATTAGAATATTTCAGTATTATTTTAGTATTACTACCATATTATTACATTGTTGTTTTATTAATGACTTAGACCAGTGTCCTTATTTTTTAATGAAATATGTTAAATAAAATGAGAAAGGTAAATAATTCAGAGATAATCCATGTTTAATAGCAGTATTTCATTATTATCTATTTTCCTTATCTTTGTTGTTATCACAATGTTTCGGCCGTTCTGCTCTTTAGTCTTCATCAGGTGTTTGTCGAGCAGGGTAACTGTTATACCATAATACCTATTCTATTGTAATGGACTCTCCCACAGATAATAAATAGTAGTAGTAGTAGCGGCCGACAGATCGGTTCAGTGGTGTTGAGCGAGTCAGTCGATATCGGACATTGAAGTACCAACCATCACAACTAGATTGCTGCGTCATTAACTCTTATTTCCAAGTTCCTAACGTTTTGTACGTCGAACCTAATTTAGGACGACTTATTGAAATACAATCCTCCACTGTGAAAACTACTCTACAACAGTAACCTTCAAGGAATTTCGAGCTGAACCCTTTATTTCATCAATGATGGTTGATTGTTTTTGTTCCACTATCCATATCTACGGATTTCTCCTCCTTTTCTACAGGACATTAGCCTACTGGATAAAAGCGTTGTTTCTTTGTTCTCTTTCTTTCTTTCTTTTTAATTTTGTGACGTATTAATTGTCTGTTTAGTTCCCGTGCCAGGTAGTGAAGACATGGTGGAAACAGGGCGAGTAATAACCAATAAGTACTAAAATAAGAACAAAACAATATATCCCTATACAGGGACAGCGGGGCAGTAACAATCTACCCTCGTAGATTGAATAAAGGGTTAATTTCAAAATTCCATGAAGGTTACCCAAATCGACAAGAACTTAATGAAGGCGGGAAGGCACAACGGTACTTTGAGAAAAAAAATGAAAAACTTAGTCCGACTGTAAATTCTGACAGCAATTAACATTTCGCCCCCAAATTAAAAAAAAAATAACGTTCATGACCATATGAGAGAAACAAGAAATAGTGTTGAGTGCCTATAAAAACAACATTCGCCATCCTGGTTTGGCTTGGGTCCGAACACTGATCTCTGGCATGGTAAATATGCCAAAACGACAGCTATGAATCCGGCAGTGAATTTGAATCTTGTGGACAGGTGCTACAGAATCACAACTAACGAACACTTCCAAATAACAGACACCACATAACTTGAAGACTTCCAAAAGCAGCAATAACTAAAATGAGTAGCACATGTAATTCAATGGGCAAGTAATGACAAAATTAAAGTATTTACGTTCAAACAAAAGGGTAGGAAGCCCCCCCCCCATCAATACGGGAAAGGGCGATAACAGTTGACTTGAGAAATTAATTTTTTATGAAAAATTGTTTAATCGAAAGATTTACTAAATTCCAATCAAAAGTAGAACTACAGCATCAAGGAATGCCGAATGTTTACTTATAAGGAAAAAGTTGATATTAAAATTAGTATTGTTCCCGTCGTTGATTCGATTTTTTTATTGTCTTCATGCAGTCTGAACCTTGATGTGTGAAATTGGTAACTTTTACTCCAGTAAAGTAAGTAATTCCAGTTAGACAAACAGGTAGGTCAGAATGTTTACACTAAGTGTGTACCTTAATTAACTATCGCCAATAAAAGGGGTCGGTTGTAATAAATATATCGAAAGTAAAGAACTTCAATAAAAAAAATCATCCAGAGATGTATCCCTTTTTGCTGGACATAAGTCTAATAAGTTTTGTCAATACTGATTGTTCAGTCCTGTGACTTCTAAGATGTCATGCTGGTGTCTTCATAGCATTATTCCAAGAGCGCAAGGTTACGTGGGAAAAAAAGGCGTAAGTAGGAATCACCGATTTGACTCTTCATTTATATAAAAGCTTCTAGAATAAAAATATACCTATATGCTCGCGTATCATGCGACCCTTGAAAACCGAATTTTGAAGCTAATTTGACTAGAATAAATAAATATATAGAATTTGGTCAACGGCGTAGCCAGAACCAGCAGTACATACGCTAATTTTATATCACGTGTATGATGCGACCCCCTTAAAATTAACTTCAAAATTAGGTCATCAAAAATCGCATGATACGTGAGTATATACGCCAGGCGAACTACGAATAAAACTATTTTTAAAAGTTGTTTAATTCTCTAAGCATAATTTCAAGTTACGCAATAATGTTTGACCTTTGAAAGGTTTATACATGGACCACATTATTGTTATTGACTTCTTTTGAAAATAAAAGCATATGATTTAGCACGATTCATAAGATTGGGTGAATTCAGAACTAGTTTATCTCCGCCTGCATGTCGTCAGTCACTGCCCATCCTGTTACTAAATATTAATTTTCAAGGTGAATAGCACTTGACATAAAGATAAACCCGCTCCTCTAGTAGAAATGATTATGACGCCTCCTCGTTGATTTGGCATGAGGACGTGGACGCACATGGCTCTCTACGACTTCAGATATACTTGTTCCTTTACGACTAAATTTATTCGTCGTGATATTTTTTTTCTCCGTCATCTGTTTTGCTCAAACTTATCAAGTAGGTTATTGATTGTTTTTTTCTACAATTTTTTTAGCAATTTTTCTACTGAGAATACTGACTACTGAGAATAAAATTCGTCAATCCGTCTTTTATTCAAAATACCTTCAAGCGACGAGTATGTGGGTCAACTAGCGAATGTTAGGAATGTCGTAGATAGAATGTGACAAAGTCATTTTAAGATTCCACTTAAATGCTGTAGTTATTTCTAATTCAGAGTTTGTCTATATTTCTGAGATGAGGTATTATGTACATTATTTATATTATTCGGACTATTGTCCTCATCTTTGTCGCCATATTTATCACAACGTTTCGGCCGTTGTACGCTCCGGCCTTCTTCAGGTGGTTGGAATGTCGAACTGAACCCTTTATTTCGCTCACTTCCCTGCCATGTTTGATGGATGTCAGTTATCAGTTATCTGCTGCTAATTTCCCCCTGAAAGTTCTCCACTGCCTTACCTCACACTCTTTGGGTCCTGTCAATGGATCTAACCAACGCCTTTATCCACTGTTCCATGTGTCTTTGACGACATCTGGGTACGAATTTCTGGGTATTATAAAACTAATGTCTTCAGCAACCATTTTTACCAGTGCTCATATTGCAATTTTGTTGTTATCATTGCATGTTTTTACCAGTTTTGTTGTTATCATTGCATGTTTTTCTTCCTCTCTGTAAAGATCATAAGAAGCCGCTCGATCGATCGCTATCCTCCATTTTGTGGAGGGGACGCAAGCATCAGATCGACAGAGAAGTCTGTGCACAACGTCCGCGTCACGGGGAGTGGGGGTGCTGGCAATGCCACACTTGGCGAGTCACAAGCTCGCCTCGAGGTTGGCTTTCCTACGCTGCGGTTGACAGGAGACTCGATTATGGCGGGGATTGTAAGGGACTTACCAACCATCCACCCATCTTGGGGTCTGGGTGCCGTTGTAACCTTCTAGTTCTATCGAGTTTCTTTCGCGAGTGTCGATCCGCCCTGAAGATCATTCCTCGGTCCAGTGACTTTTCTCGGCCTAAGAGGTTCTTCTATCGTTATCTAGTGGAGGGGGGCGCAAAAGATCCTCTACGTGAGCGGCTCGACTTGCCAGATGAAGAGTTTCTCTCCTTCTGGTATTGGGCGCCAGCGGCGGATTACCTCAGTAACACTGAGTTTTCGCTTACCTGGCGACTGGCTCGGAATAGGCTGCCTCTCAATGACATGGCCTTTATATGAGGATTGGTGTATTTGCCAGACTGTGAACGATGTCGCCTTGGTTTAGAAGAAACGGCTTCGCACGCCTTCTACCATTGTGGTCGGGTCCGCCCCTTATGGGACCATGTCGGCGAGCTGACGGCTCGTATCGCTCCTGAAAAGCTCGTGCTCATCGATCGTGCGTAAGCGTGTGACAATGTGTCGCCCCCGTATTCTGGGGTGAAACGAATGGCGTTTCTAACGCTACTGGCTACGGCCCGAATGGTGATCTGGACGACGCGACGCAAATGGAGGAAGTCTTTCGAGGCGACCGTCTTTCTCATCAGGATCTTATCCGGAGTATCAACTCAAGATGAAGATTAGAACTGATAGAAAACCCTTGCATTCGACAACCTTTAGCGAAAGGTGCGTGACAGAAGCGAGCTTGATTCGTTTGAACGGGGCTAGCTTTGATTTTCTCTTTTAGGTCAAGCCTATGTCACATCGGGGTGGTTTCCTGTGGAGCCCTACCCTATCTTTTTACCCCCCTATTACTCGGAATATTTTTACTATGTTTTCGGTTTTATAATGATAGTAAATTTACTTCTGGAGTCTTCCTTTCATTTTTAATTGAATGATTTGTTTAACGGCATATCAACATCCTTATGGATCAGTTAATGCCGAAATTTAATTTTCTTGGGGAAATTTAAAGTAATAAAAATATGATATATGCTATTTTGCTTTCACAATAGAGTACATGGTAGATGAAACACAGCTTTTGTGCATATACATATATCTCTGGACATAATTACTAGAGGCGGTGATATGTGTGTTTCATGTTGTAGTTTTGTGAAAGTTATATTTTGGAATACAGTTTTATTTTTTTAAGAAATTGTAGGCTATTATATGGATTAATGGCATGAAAGAATTCTTTCATGTTGGTTGTTTGGTTGGTTAGTTTTGTTTAGCGGCATATCAACATCTCTATGGGTTATTTAATCTCGAAACGCAACAGATAAAATGTATTGTTGGTCATTTTGCTATAAAATTTATTGTTATTAATTCTACTATAAATATGTATTGTTGGTAATTTTTATATAAAATGTAATGCTGGTATTTTTACTCTAAAAATAGTGCTTTGTTTTTGTTGAGGGTATTCACTAATTGCCCATAGCTGGAACCCTAACAGATGTTACTACTCTGACTAGTGGACCTGCGAACAACAACAATTAAGAGGTGGTTCTATAGTCCTCAAAGACTCCAATCTCTCGATCAGAGCTCTTGCTGCTGGATGTAGTTTATCGTCATACCATGGACTAATTGAATAATTCGATTTCACTTACTGACTTTCAAAACAGTCAAATGCTTCGCAGTAGAATAATGTTACGTAATAGTTTCGCTCCTTATATGATATATATATTGGTAATATCTGCAACATTAGATACTTGTAAATATGTGTCCTACCTGACCAGTGCTTCAATCAATCTAACAATCAGTTAATCTTTGAGCTCGTCATTCTAATTTTTTTTACCGACATTTGAACTTTAGTCATGTTTCGTTAGTGTCGAAATCAGTTTCATTTACACAACTTACATGCGGGCTATTTCCCCAATTTTTATTGTTGTTATCTGTTGTGGTCTGTTTAGGGGCCAGAAAGAAAGACACGAAAGACGAAGGTTGAACAAGTGTATTGAAATAACCGATATATACAAAGCAAGAGTGCTAGTAAATAGAAGAGGTGTACGTTCGGACGGTAGGTTAACACTGCGTCTCCACTACCCAACCGACTACACAAGGAAGTCTCGGAGTTAGTATTTATGAGAGAAGGAAGAGTTCATTCTATTGTAGGAGGGTTTGCCACAACATTATCACAATGCTTCGGCCGTTGTGTCCTCGGCCCTTCATCAGATGTATGTCGATCCGGGTAACCGACAGGGAATTCTCCACAGAGAATTGTCCCACAGGACAACAGCCTAGTGGATTAAAGGGTTGGTTTCAGAATTTGGTGACATAGCAATTGTATATTCAATCTCTGGGCCGGGAGGCATGAACTTGGACTCAGTAGAATCAGGGCGAGCAATAACTGAGGATTACTATAAATAAGAATTAGATATCCTTAGTCATGGGTAATGGAGCGAAAACAGTCTACCTTCTAAATAAAGATTTCAGCTTGGACTTCCCTGTAGGTTACCCAGATGGATAATAAACGGAGGGGGCGGAGGACACATCGACCGAAGCGTTGTGATAAAAACAACAAAGATGAAGACGATGAATCCAGATATAAATAGTGCAAATAATCATATCCCAGAAATTTAGACAGAATGTTTTCTTCTCAATAATTTCTTTTTCTTTCACTTTACAACTTTATTTCACTCCCTTTACAGACAGATGTTTAAAGACAAATTAGTAAGTACTCCTGCCTTAACCGTATGTCTGATCGGTTTGATCATGTAAAATTAGTACTTGATCCAAAAATAAATATCTTAAATTCTGTTGTTAACTGGGGCAAGGAATGACTTGTTAGTTTTAACGCCTCCAAAACGAGACTGCTCTCTACTGATCGCCTGAAAGAACTCTTTCTGGTTTTCATAAGCATAGCTGATGCTACCCTCCAGGTGAGTGACTAGTTTCGCCTTCCAGGGCTAACATTTCCGCTGGCATGAAGTAAACAAATTGTATCGAATCAATTGCTAGAGTTCCTGCAAAGAAAGTTGGTTCACTGTGTCGTGGTAGACGATTTTTCTCTCCGGAATCCATTTTACATGCTTTGAATAGTGTTGTTGCATATGGTCTGATTCTCCTGCTATATATTCAGAGATTCTTGATAAATCCAACAAAGAATCAGTAATGTTACTGGTCCTGACCTGGCATCTCGGCTTCAGTCACTTTCCCACGGCCGCAATGTAGCTTCTCTGTACCCATTCTATAAAATACTTCTATGGTAATTGTTCTGATTAATTTTCCTGTATGGTATCTAGACTTTATGAATTTAAACGTTGTACTAGATTGGCATTTAGGTCTCATCATTTTACAGTTGAAATGAGTAGATGTAACCGTAGGTTCTATGCTAACAGTTTCTTCTCTTGCATTTCTCATTTGTGGAGCTCCCTTAATTTCTTAGTTTCTGTTCTTTTATTGTTATCTCTCCTTAATAATGTTTTTCTTATATTCTTTCACCCTCGATACACGCACCTTCGTGTTATTGGCTTTGTTGCCTTACTTAGTGTTATGATCAAGTAAATGGTTAAAGAAATAACAAAACAAGTGTTGCAGATATATCATATATTAAACAGTAAGTACAACAGAAGACTAGTGAGTGTGTGTCGGTTGACCCAGCGTTCAATCTATTCGACTGTTAACAATTAGCAGCACCCCCCCACGAGGGTAGATGTGGCACAAGGCCTAGTTTAACGAGGTTCATCCGAGCCCGTAGGCACGGCCAAAAAATCCCCGTAGAACCCGCCTAAACGGGTTCGGGTCTACCTCCCCGGACGAGACTCTGTCCTTTGACACAGCCTCGTCCGGGTTCCTCTCTGCCCAAAGGCAGAGAGTTCAACAACAACTGCGAATTGTCACAGCCCGGTAGAACAATCTATTAAACTGTTAATATTTAACAGCCCCACCACGAGTGATATATGTGGCACAAGGCTGAGTTTAACGTGGTTCATCCGAGCCCGTGGGCTCGACCGAAAAATCCCCATAGAACACGCATAAACGGGTTCAGGGACTGCTGATGGTAACCTCCAGAAGAGTGACTAGTTGCGACTTCTTGGGCTCACGTCCTCAGTTGACATGAAATGGAAAGTCTATATTGGGCTCATTACGAGGTCAGCTGCAAAAAAGTTGGTTCACTGTGTCGTGTTAGACAATTTCTTTCTCCAGAATCTATCTTACATATTTATAAGTCTACCATTCATCCATGCTTTGAATATCGCTGCCACATATGGTTCGGTACTCCTGAACAATAATTGATATCTTTAAAAACGCTTGAAAGTAGGACATCAGTATATGCAAAAGTCGATAGCGTTCTCGGGTGTTAAATACACAGTAAATAAAACAAACCATTTGCTGTTTTCTTTTTCTAAAAACGATGATTTTTTAAAGAAATTCAAAATAAAACAAGTAACACAAACAATTGCACTGGTCGACCATTTTAATGGAATTAATAATAGCGGTATAATTTGTGACAAAGTTCTTGGCCCTAAAAAGAAATCAACGAGTTTATTCAGATTTAGAAGACAGACGAGAAGGAAAACTTATCCTGGTTAGTATAAACATATCGAGGAGATATGAAACGAAAAGAAACTGAAAACAATAACTTTATTTTTTTTAATATATAAATAGCATTTTCTGTGCGTCTAAGAAGCCTCACAGTCTTGACTTGCTGTCAACCATTGAACACATGCAAACACACTAAAACAGAGAGAAGTATATTTATATATAAGTGTCTGTGTGTGTGTGTGTGTGTCTGTGAGTGTGAGAGTAAAATTCAGATAAAAATAAAATATCTGTAAAATAATAAAATATGAATAAAGAAAAAAAGGAAAACTTCATTACCGACGAGTTTTTGTCCAATGAGGGACTTTATCTTGGTAAATGTGAGGATTTTATTTTGCCACATGTATTTATAAAGAAAAATATCGTTAAGTTTTCGAATTAAGATAAACTATGGAGGACGCTAACACCATTAAATTACATTACTTAGCCTCATCCATAGTTTATCTTTACTTACCCAGTTGACCTTTAAGAATATTTTAGAGCGTTCTTAAATTTAAATATCTTGAAAGCCTAAAGACATTTTTACTTTTGTTTATAAAAGCAAGCTGCAAAATAAAATCCTTACATTTTTCCAGATAAATTTCCTGATTGGACGAAAACGCGATGGTAAAGTTTCCCTGTTGTCTTTATTCACATACGCATGCACACATACACACACACAAATATATATATATATATAGAGAGAGAGAGAGGGAGAGGAGAGAAAGAGGAGAGAGAGAGGTGAGAGAGAGAAAGAAGAGAGAGAAAGAGGAGAGAGAGAGAAAGAGGAGAGAGAGAGGAGAGAGAGTGAGGAGAGATAAAGAGAAATAGGAGAGAAAGAGGAGAGAAAGAGGAGAGAGAGAGAAAGAGGAGGGCGAGAGAGCGGAGAGAGTGAGGAAAGAGGAGAGAGAGAGAGAGAGAAAGAAGAGAGAGAGAAAGAGAGAAAGAGAAAGAGAGAGAGAGAGAGAGAAAGAGGAAGAGAGAGAGAGGAGAGAGGAGGAGAGAGAGAGAAAGAGGAGGGAGAGGAGAGAGAAAGAAAGAGGAGAGAGAGAGAAAGAGGAGAGAGAGAGAAAAGGAGGGAGAGAGAGCGGAGAGAGTGAGGAGAGAGAGAGAAAGAGGGGAGAGAGAGGAGAGAGATAAGAGAGAGAAAGAGGAGAGAGAGAAAGAGGAGAGAGAGAAAGAGGAGAGAGAGGAGAGAGAGAGAAAGACGAGAGAGATTTCTAACGGTTTTAATTTATATATTTGGTTTGGTGCGTGTCTCTTTCATGTAGAAGTTGGCTCACTTCAAGTATTATAAGCGTAGGAAGTGCTATGTTTTGGGATTATCAGACCGTCTACCATTTTCATATTCTCTTGGATACAAGCAGTGGTGGCATTCTACCGGTTCGCACCAGGTCACATGAACAGATTGTTAAAATTATAAAACCTTAGCAAACTGTTTGTTGGATTATCCGAAAATAATCTTATATATTAATAGCCGATATATAACAGCTAACTAGCTGATACCATTACTGTAAGTTCTGCGGAGGCTGAAAGATTTTTTTTCTGTGATGAATATAATTTATTCTGACAAAAGAAATCGCCTTGAAGTTAAAAATGTGGCAAATCTTCTAGTCATAAATTTGATAGGTCTTCTATTGGATATTTGGGACTTCATCGATTCAGTTTGAACGTGGATATGAAACCATAACTCAACTGATCACATTAAAGTCAAAAAGCATCATACTTCTGAATAGAAAAATGAATTTTCAATCTGAAAATATGTTAATAAATATGTTTTCTCTTAGATTATTAAAATGTTTTAGTTCTTTTTGATATTATAAAGTGATTTGTTTCCATTCTTAGATTGAAAAGAAAATAAGCACAGCGGGTTCTTAAAGAACCAGGTCTTTATAGAACCAGTTCCTGGAAATTTGAGATGCCATTATTGGATACAAGGTAGATTTTTTTTCATTTGTACCTTTATTTTGATTTAATCAGCTGCCAAACTTATGTAAGTACAAATCTACGTCCTTGTTTATCCTGTTCAAATAGCTGTATATACTACGTACGTAACAGTGTATATCATAAAATGTCCAGTGTATCTGGAAATTCAGCTCAAAAGTTCAGGGCAATGAACAATATTTGACTGTCACGAATTGTAAAATCTCTTAAGCATTTTTTAACGTACAGGAATAAACTCCGAATTTGTATAAATATTTACAGCTCCTTAAACTTTTTATGTTATTGTGTCGTGTGAAGTGAATTCCAACAACAAAAAATTATTCCGCAAAAGAAATTCAGTATTGCAAACGAAATACTTTGATACATTGTCTGCGCTTCCAGCAGACGACACAAACTTAAATTACAAAAATAAAATCTTAGTAAACATGATTAGTTCTAGTATCTGTCTAGATTTCTGAGATAAGGTATTATGTACACTATTTACATTATTCGGACTATTGTCCTCATCTTTGTCGCCATATTTATTACAACGTTTCGGCCGTTGTACCCGGTTAAGGCAGTGGAGAATTAGGAGGAGATAACTGACAACTGACATCCATTAAAAGATGGCACGCGGAACTAGAACAGTCTACTCTAGCGAGCGAAATAAAGGGTTCAGTTCAACATTCCAACCACCTGAAGAAGGCCGGAGCGTACAACGGCCGAAACGTTGTAATAAATATGGCGACAGAGACGAGGACAATAGTCCGAATAATGTAAATAATGATTAGTTCTAATTACGTCTTAGAGACTAGGATTTGGCGTTGTTATTCAGTGGAAAATAATTGCTTGATTTTTTTTAACGTTCTGCCGGGAAAACGAATATTGAGACGAGCACAATATGCTGATTAATCACGCATCGTTTAGCATAGCAATTACTGTTTGGAGATAGACAGAGATATATGGATGGATATGTTTTTACTCAGATAGATAAAGGAACATATACCTGGAGCATTTATGACGATAACAGATTTTGTATGGCTTTCGAGGAAGCAATACTGTATAACGATAATATTCCCATGGAGTAGTTTTAACTAGAATTTAAACATTCAAAAACCAGTTTTCATCCGAATTTGTACACTAAGAAATTACATTAAGTATATGCGTGTAGGTTCAGATCTTATTAAGCTAATTCAGTTGGTTCCATGA